AATTTATATATACATATTTATATCGATATATTTATATAATATTTTAGTTAAATTTTTTTTACAATATATTACAGCTTAAGTAATATAAAACTACCCATAATGATCATGCATTTGCAAAAATAAAAGTCTGAAATTTACAATGTCAAGTATGATTATGATTATGTACAAACGACAAAGTAAATCAATAAGATAAAAATAATATATAAATTAAATTCATGAACAAAAATAATCATATTTGCATTTGTCTATCTTCAATTTCCTCCTTTATAAAGGAACAAATAGATTAAAGTTGTTCCGTAATGAAATTTGGTTATATAAATCTCATAGAGAAAAAAAAAAAAGAGAAGTTAAAAAATCTGAAAAAATATAAATAAATCAATAAATCAATAAAAAAATAAAAAAATGAATGAATAAAAAGAAGTCGCCAAAAAAAGCATAGTAATATTTTTATATAGTAATTGTGTCTCAGACATTTAATACTCTCAGCAATGTGTGACATATAACTTTACTTATATATTTACGGTCATTTTGTAGCTGTTTATTAACGGCAACCACACAAAATGACATAAATTAATAATACATTATATCCATTATATAGATTAAAATACATATGTGAGACAAAAAAATGACTAGAGTAAAATATTTAAGAGAAAAAGGGAAGACAACAACATTAAACGAACAATAGAGCCTAGCATTTCTGCCAAAATGAAATGAAAGAGGTGGACAAAACCAAGTCATCAAGTAAGCAATGAATCGTGAGCTTTCATTTGCACCAAAATGACCAGAAAAGCTCAAGCCAGGAACAAATGAATGAATTAAAAATTGAAGATAGAAGTATATAATCAAACCATAGAACAGTAGAAGATCCAAAAGACTGCAGAAAAAAAAAAAAAAGGAAAAGAGAGAAAAAAGATGGAAACAAAAAAAATAAAAACTGGACAATTCAAATTCAATAGATAAAACAAATGAAAAAAAAATGCAGGATATTATATGAAGAAATAAATTTTGATTCAAATGCTTAAAACATGAATACCAGGAGTCCAAAATGAAGGAATGAATACGGGAGAAAATAGCAAAAGCCAAAACAGTGGTAGTCATAAGTGTTTCTGTATTAAGAATCAAGCTAAAAACAACATAAAAGAGAGTCTGAAAGAATTTAGTGAAGAAATATAGATAAAATCTGAGTCCAACTAAAATATAGACATCTAAAGACCAACAAGACTCCGTTCACTTCATCGATTTGAGTTTATAATTTAAGTTTTATTATAGTAAAAAGTTCTCAGAAACAGTCACATCTAATTTTTTTGTTACAGTAAAAAGCACTCACATAAAATCACATTTCAATTTAAATTACAAACTTGAATCAGTGAAGTAAACGGGCCATACTATATAAAATAAATAAACTTTGACTTGAATAGTAAAAGGTAAGAGAACAAAAAATACAAAATAACCTACACCATCATGTTGTGCTTAAGTTGAAAATCAAGCTGAAAACCACATGAGGAGATAGCCAAAAAAAGGTTTAGGAGAGCAAGATAGATAAAACCTGAATTGAAATCAGATAAACATATAACAAACAAAAAAAGGAACATACTATTATAGACAAATGAACTCTAGTTCAAGTAATGAAAAGAGGACAGCAAAAATTCCAAAATTACTTAAACCCATAAAGAAAGTAAGATAAAATAGGAGAAATTTTTTCCTTTTTTCTCTAAACTTTATGTATGAAAGGATAATAACAGAATGGGAAAAACAAAACCCAGCAATGGGGGAAAAACTGATATATGTATAAATAACTTTTGAATGAAATGGTAATGCCAAAAAAGAATAAGTAAAAAGAATAAAAGGGGATATCCAAAAAGTTTTAGTCAAAGAGAGTAGACAAAATCAGAATGTAAATGAGGAAAACATATTCACAATAACTATTGGACAAATTACATAAAACTCAACATGTTAAAATTGGTTATGGTCATCATCGCCACAAACAAAAATCAATAAAAACTAAAGTATGTCAAATAAAGACACATATCTAACTATATACATATCACTAAAAAATAAATGAAAAGGAAGTCAATATCTTAACACTATTTACTAATGAAACACAAAAAAAAAAAAAAAAGACACTGGATACTCACATTTATTAACAATAAAAGAGAATGTTTGTCAGCACTATATGTTAATATCAGCACAGCAAACGAACACATTCAATATCAGAAACACACATTAAGAAACTCTAGACAGAAGTTATTAATAGTACCTTAAATGTTGTAAATAATGCTTTAAAACTAAATATCAGCCAACCACACGTCAGTGAAAGGTACATAAATAAGAAAATGGTGAACTGGAAGGAATAAAAAAATAGAGCAGTAAATGATAGGGAATGAAGTATAACAATAAATGATAAAGGTTAAAGTAGGGAAGGAAAAACTGTGAACTGTAAGAAATAAAAAGATGGAGCAATAAATGATAGGGAATGAAGTAAAGCAGTAAATGATCAAGACTAAAGGGTACAAAACCTATAACAATATCACACGTAATACTAGAAAGTCAGTGCACAAAGACTGAAAGAACATAATTTTTAACTTAAATAAAAAAGCAGCATATTATTAGAGCCAAGAAGAAAAAAGAAGGGAAAAAACCCTAAATAATAATTATTTTAGAGAGGGGAAAAGGAGGGAAAAAAGTAATAAAATATTTTTTTCCTTCCCAGATTTTCCACTTATTCCAGATGATAAAATTTTTTTTTAAAAAAATCACCAATTCATTTATTAACTTTGCAATAAAAAGGGTACACATCATAAACTCATCACCTAAAAGTTAAGAACATTCATGTTAGATCATCAAGAATTAATAAATCTGTAAGCGGAAGCGTACCTGAATCCATATTGCTTGATTTCTCTCTAGAGTCGTGCAGTTTGTCTTCCAGATCAACATGCTTTTTTAGATAACCCTTTAACTTTTTCTCTGTACTCTTTCTGATGATGAGATGTCAGAATAAATGAAATAATACATGTGATCTGAGGACCATAACTGTCATATATTGATAACTTCCCTGTTATCTTTTGGTATTTCTATTTTAGCCCATCATAAAAATAGAAATTACCCTTAAGTCTCTACACATTAAAGGCCTACACCCTATTAGATACATTAAAGCTCAAAATACATAAACTTTATTAGATCACTTTTAATTAAGTTTAACTTTATATGACAGCTCGCAACACATAATTATTCATATATAAACTTAACATTGGATTAAGGATTCAATAAACAGATCATCACTATAGACACTACAGATCAGCAAATCAATAAATACAAAACAGATTGATTCAACAAGGACTCATATGCAAAATAAGACAGAAATAACAGTCGTAAAAAAAGTAAAATTTACCTATACAGTGTATGAAGTCAGCCACGTACGGAGAAAATCTGAACCATCCATATGGAAATCGCTTTTTGAGCAAAAGAATAACCTAAAGAACAAAATAAAGCACTCAAAAAAATTTCAGAGCATAAAAGGGAAATATAGTGTCAACAATTTAAAGAAATTTAAGCAAATCAACCATAAAAGAAAATAGGCAACAAAAAGAAAAGGAAAAAACTTTGAAGAAGGAAAAAAAAAAAAAGAAGAAGAAAGCTCAGAACATCCACTCGGTCAAAAGTAAAAAATCTGAACCAAAAACCCAAACCCAAACCCAATCTTTTTCGTCTTCAATATATGTTTCTTTATGCTTCTCGTGTAGCCTTCCTGCTATGAGATTTTTGATATTGATTAATCAATATTATCCATCGATCATAGAAGATTTGTTAAAAAACCATACGTGTGGTCGATTTTGTCTACCCTGTTGAGTGATTTTTCATTTGTCTAGTCTGGCATACACTATTTTTCTTTGGGGTTCATTTTTATTTATTAATAGAACATGTTATTTATCGATGCCGTGTTCTTATTGCAAGGATAATATGTTTGAATTGATGTTTGTATTACCTTTTAAATATATTATCCAATAATAAAAAAAAAAGCATTTCTAGTATAATACTAATTTGATTATTTTTGTGTTATTATAACATCAGTTTTTCTAATAATTAGTAATAGCCAACAATTAATGCTTTTTTTAGAAAACAAAACTAATTAATATTATTGTTATTCGTGTAATACGTTTTGTTGGTAATATAGAAAATGAGATTTTATGATATGGTATTCTTATATGTAATACATGTTTTTAATCTAGTTAAAATTGAATAATAAAATGTATGCAAAACTAATAAAACTTAGTACAAATGTGATGATTCAAAACAGTTGTATCAATTACATAATTGTCATAATAATAATAAAATAGATAAATTACATGTTTTCCTTTCGAATTATAGACCTTCACACCCTGAACTTTAATTTTAATTTTTTTCCTCCGAACTTTAATAACTCTTATTCTTACTTCTGTTATTGTTGTTGGCCACTATTGATGAACCTTCCAAATTTCTTTAGTCAAATAAATTAAGAAAAAGTTGGTTTAGTAAAAGATGACAACTCATAATACGTAATTGCACTTTTGTGTGACTAAATGAGGAGCATCTAACAGATTAATTATGTATTAAAAATGTTCAACAACACTTATTTGTGTGATCCATGACAACTTATATATCATATAGTTGATACTCATACACAAAAAATGATATTTGAGTCATCGTGTCTAGTATTTTTCTTTTAAAAAATTTGTTTTCATTTTTATTTTGAGAATTTTTTTAGTTTTGAAATTTATTTTAGAAATTTTTTAGTTAACGAAATTAAAGTATAAAATAGTATTTAATATAAATTGATAAGGATAACCTTAGCATTCTGAAGAATTTATACTCGCGGGAAAATAAAAATAAAAAAACAGAGAGATATTAAAAAAGGTAGGCAAAAATGGTTTTTAGAGAAAAACAGGGGTATTATGGTCTTTCTATAATCAACAACCAAGAAATAACCGTTGGTGTATTGTACCCGCTCCGAATGCAGACGCACACCTAACGAAACCACCTCGTCTCATCGTCATCTTCTCCATCAGTCAGTGAGTCGTCAAACTCTCTTAACACATCCAATCATCTCTCTCTCTCTCTCTCTCTCTCTCTCTCTCTCTACCAATCACTTGCAGAGCAAGCAAGGAAGCACCGGAAATGACTGACAAATCCCTCGACGGCGTCACAGCCTCCAACATCGCCGCCCTCGGAATCGCACCGGACGTCGCCGACGGACTCCATGGGAGGATCGCCGAGGTCGTCCGTATTTACGGTCCTGCCAATCCGGACACGTGGCGGCAGATCTCGACTCGTGTTCTCTCGCCCGACCTCCCCTTCGCCTTCCACCAGATGCTCTATCACTCCTGCTTCAACGGCTTCGGACCCGACCCGCCCGCCTGGATACCTGACCCGTGAGATATTGCATCTATTTTTTTTTCTTTTTTTTGGATTATTTTGGAGACTGTTTGTTTCCTCGGGGGGGAAAAAAAACCTTTCTTTCACGGAATTTCGGTAAAAAAAGTTTTTTTCCCCTCAACTTCTTTTGCTTCAATGGTTTCTTTTATTATTATTATTATTATTATTATTATTATTATTATTATTATTATTATTATTATTTTAATTTGGTTGAAATCACTTTTAGTTGATAGCTTCTCATGATTATAGGATTTGTCTCTCATTATCAATGTAACAAGTTGGCGTGAAAGTGATACAAAATACAACTAGACATTTACAGTGAAGTAGTTTAGTGAGTTCTAAACCAAATTGAATGTAGACTTGTGTATCATATATGTGCATATATAGTATATCTAGAGAAATTGGCAAAACTGAACTTGATGTCTCAATGTAAAAAGTGGTCGCACATTGTCGTTCTGAAGTCATTTTGCAAAGTAATATTTTTGGAAAGTTATTTTGCTGATAAAGTTTTCTTATTTGGCCATTTGTACAAAGATCTCATTTGAAATGCTTATGTTCTATACATTTCTTGGTTTTCATAAGCCTACTGAACAAAGTTTCTTTCGTTTACTAGTTATGTTTAAATTCCGGCGCATTGCCTAAAAGGTGAAGAAGTACTAGAAGAGTTGAAGCTATCACTTGAGAAATCTTAATAGGTCTAATGTTATCTGTGATTTTACTGAAATAAAATGCCTTGTTTTTTGAATAGGGAGGCTGCAATCTTAACAAATGTTGGCAAGCTATTAGAGAGGCGGGGAAAAGAGTTTCTGGGTTCAAGGTATAAGGATCCCATTTCAAATTTTTCTGATTTCCAGGAATTTTCTGTCACAAACCCTGAGGTGAGGTAACATAAATGTTGTATGACTGGTTTTTGATTCAGAATTTCGCCTAATTTGCCGAGACTTATCATCTTCTGTTTTTGTGCCTCATTTGTCAGGTCTACTGGAGAACAATATTCAATGAGATGAATGTATCTTTTTCAAATCCTCCGGAATGTATTTTCCATGAGAATGTGCCAGGAGGAGGGCAGGTTTCACATCCGGGTGGTCAATGGCTTCCTGGAGCATATGTGAATCCAGCAATGAATTGTTTGAGTGTTAACTCTAAGAGGAGTTTGGATGATGCATCGATAGTATGGCGTGATGAAGGAAAGGATGATCTGCCTGTGAACACAATGACACTTGAGGAATTGCGTTCAGAAGTTTGGTATGATACCACATATCCTTTAATCTTTGTTTCGTCAGACTCATTCTCATGTTTTTGTAAGATTATTTGTCCATTGTCCTGTTTACTATGTATTTGGGAACAAAAAATCTTCAAAATCAGGAATTCTCCAAAAGACGTAATAGTTGCTTTAAATTTTGATGTAATCTCCTGGAAACTTAAAGCCATTACACATTATTAGTTGGTGCCCCCTAGATTGTTGATTTTTTATCATGACTTTCAGTGCATATTGTAGCTCTGGATTCCCATAACATATGGTGCTTAGACTATGTCTGGATAACTAATAATTTATGTCTCTTAAAACTTAGTTTAGTTTGCAACCAAGTATGTCCACACATCATCAATATTTTACTAGAATTCCTTGTCCTGCTAGCTAGCTTCTATTACTGTTGGTGGGTCGTGAATAATATCACAGTGAAGGATTCTATAGTACGGCCAGATTTAGACAATACCATCCTTATCATGAGTCCTATATGAGCTTGAAAGATATGTGATATTAACAAAATTGGGGCAATGGCATTTGTAGGATGCACAATTAGGCTCTCTGAGGCGTACCATCTTTGTTTTTCATGGTATTGTGAGGCTAGTCATGCTAGTATGTGTTCCAAGCCATTGAATAAGTAACATAATAGCATGTGTTTTTGAGATTTTGGTTTGTTATATCTAAAACGAATATGCTATTAACAAACAACGTTCTGATATTCCTTTAGAATATTCAGGAAAAGAATATTTTCAACCGTTTGTATTTATAATATGAAGTAACTGAAGTTCACTTGGTTACACGTTGAAGGTTAGTAGCTCATGCGCTTAAAGAACTGGGTTTGGAGAGAGGATCTGCAATTGCAATTGATATGCCAATGCATGTCCATTCGGTCGTTATCTACCTAGCTATTGTTCTTGCAGGCTATGTTGTTGTATCTATAGCTGATAGTTTTGCTGCTGGTGAAATATCAACAAGACTCAAAATATCAAAAGCTAAAGCCATATTTACGCAGGTGGTTACAGTTTCTATGGAAGCTCTAAATGTTGATTTTTTTTTTTTTTTTTTTTTTTTGTGGATTCATCTGAAATTTCTTCGTCTGAAATTTCTTCACCTGAAGACTTTAGACCCGTTTGGAATTTTTTCTCAAGTCTTAAGCGTCCTTTCTTGAATTAGAGTTTGTGAAATGAATAATTAATTTTGCTTCTTTTAATTCTTGAACAAGTTAAAGTTTCTTTTTTTAAAATTTTTTTAATTTTTTGTAATTTGTAGGTTGTTTGGGGAAAATACACAAAGTAAATGATTATGAAGAAAGGGAAAAGGAAAACACTTTATATTAAAATGTAAACAGATTGATTTCGAAAAATAAAGTGAAAATTTAAAATCACTGGTGAGCCTTTAAGTTTGTTCTATATACATGTTCCTTTGAAATTTTATGTTTGAAAGGGGATTTGACAGCACAATTAGGTATTGATTTATAATTTCATTTATTTTCTCTTAATTTTCTTTAATCTGAATAAGTTCTCTAGGGTTATAATATTTGCCCATCACTTCTTCCATAGGGCGTCAGCATACATGCCTTTGTGTGTGAATCTTTTTTTTTTCTCTCTTTCTTTTTTTGGCCTTCCACAATTATCATTTTGAAGTTTTCGTTCATTTCCTCTTGTGGTCAGGATCTAATCATTCGTGGTGAAAAAAGTATACCCTTATATAGGTGAAGTTCTCATCATTCATTGGCCATCTGGTCAACTTTTTCTATCTTTTTGTGCTTTCAGTTTATCTCACTGGTTTGCTTCGATCACGCAGGCGAGTTGTGGAAGCTCAGTCTCCGATGGCAATTGTAATTCCTACAAGGGGATCTAGTTTTAGCACACAATTACGTCACGGTGATATTGGTTGGCATGATTTTCTAGAAAGAGTGAAAGAGTTCAAGTATATCACTGATTTCCAGCTTGATATATGTTTACTTTTTATTATGTGTTCAGTGACTTCCTACATTTGTTGAGTGATCTTTGTAACTTGATACAAACTGATTCATTCTACCTCAATCTTTTTTTCTTTTTCTTTTTTTTTTTCTTTTAGAAAAAGAGAAAACATTTGCATCCTTTTGATTCGCACAAGTTGAAGTTGAACTTTTGAATAACTTAGGGGAGAAAGTAGCAGAAAATTCGTGTCTTGTTGAGTTTGAATCAAGTATTTAGATATTGTGATATTTTCCAACATAAATGTTACAAATTTATTGATTTATTGAATTGAGTAGTATGTTTTATTACAAGACGTCTTTTTTCTCTCCCCTTCTTTTGAGATGTGGAGACCAGTTCTATTCAAGTTTTGTTGAGATTTGTGCTTACTACTGCATAGTTGCTCTTTTGTGCTTACTACTGCTGGCATATGATGCAGACTTGTTGTGCATGTTAAATTATAATTTAAGAGTTGTCCTTTATAGTAGCTCTGCATTTCTAATAACTTCAATCTTGTATTTGATACTTTTGGTGTTAAATCTGCAGAAAATGTGAATTTACTGCTGCAGAGCAACCAGTTGACGCATTTACAAATATCCTCTTCTCATCTGGAACTACAGGTAAACTTAAAGCTCGAAACTGCTTAGCTCTTACATTTTTATCTGCAAAATCAAATTTCCTATTTTCCTTGACTGAAAATTTTCAATTATTGTAATAAAATAAAACTTTGCAACTTGTGGTTTTTCATTATCTTGATGAACCGAAACTTTTATGCAGTTATGTCTACATCCTTACAATTAGAGCATGAGGATTGATAGTTCTATTGAAATATTGTAATCATCATCTGGCGCATATATATTATGTAAATTTAATTTCCGAAGTTTCTTTCTTAAGTGGGGTTTTACAAGATATGCCATTTGCTTTTTTGTTTAAACAATCTGGTATTCCTCTGATTCAGGTGCTGCTTCCTTCAGTCCTTGTTTTTTCATAATGCGACTTCAAAATTGACCAAAGAATATGTTCAGTTTACACGATCTTAACTGGGTTTATTCTTTGGTTTAGGGGACCCAAAGGCAATACCATGGACCCAGGCAACTCCTTTTAAAGCTGCCGCAGATGCATGGTGCCATATGGACATTCAGAAAGGGGATGTTGTTGCTTGGCCCACAAATCTGGGGTGGATGATGGGTCCCTGGCTGGTGTATGCTTCACTGTTAAATGGGGCTTCTATTGCACTGTATAATGGATCTCCACTTGGCTCTAGCTTTGCCAAGTTTATACAGGTAAATGATTGAGTTAGTTATTTGGATTTCAAATTTATGATTCAGTTATTTGATCTGTGGTCCTTTGTATATCTTGGGGATAAATCTCCTGTGATCTCCTAATCAAATTGAAGCACGCATTTTTCATAATATATAGAAATTGAGAAAATGGACAAGATTTGAATGCTCTCTTTAGCCCCTTAAGTTTGCCCTAATACCTATGGTAGTTATGTTTGTTTTACTGTTGCTTGGTACAATAGGGTAATAAACCCTCTCCAATCTCATCACCATGGCCGAAGCCCTAGGGCAAGAATTAGCAGCCTTTACCGAGTAGTAAGTGGTTCCAAACACACGCTCGTGGACTAATATGTTTCGAACTATTGAACAAGATAATGGACCTTTTTCCACTTTTGTGCATCAAATTTTATTCCTCTAATTTTTTTTGGCCCAATATATATATGCACGAAACCATTTTAATGTAGCACTGCATTCATTGTGAAAGCAACCATTTTAGCTACAAGTTGAACGTGCATATGCATACTGGTATATTTCTACTTTAGGCTTTTTTATTTTGAAATCATTTGCTCTCAACTTACACTTTTCCGTCATATCTAGGATGCTAAAGTAACAATGTTAGGTGTGATTCCAAGTATTGTTCGCACATGGAAAAGTATGAATTCTGTTAGTGGCTATGATTGGTCGACCATCCGGTAAGCATTCACAATATTTTCCCTTGTGGCTTATGGTGAACTAGTTTTATTAGCCCATATGGATGCATGTGTTATATAAACTAGTGGATTTTTTAACCGAACCCTAGTTCTTCCAAGCTTCATATTATTTCCCCAATGTCTTTTAGTTGCTTTGGCTCTACTGGTGAAGCGTCAAATGTAGATGAGTACCTATGGCTGATGGGGAGAGCATGCTACAAGCCTGTTATCGAGTATTGTGGCGGTACAGAGATTGGTGGTGGATTTGTTACTGGTTCATTATTACAGGCTCAGGCCTTGGCTGCTTTTAGCACACCGGCTATGGGCTGTAGTTTGTTTATTCTTGGCAGTGATGGTTATCCCATTGTAAGCACCAATCTACCTCACAATTCTCGTCCACAGAAACTTATTCTTATGTATCACTTCTTAAATTTTGCATGTTAGTATTGAATTCCTCTAGTACACAAAATCCTTGCAATTATTCATTACAAGTTGCAAAGCAGCCTGACAGCTGAGGAAAAGCTAATGATTATTTCGTTGGAAAGTAATCCATGAAGTACTAACCCAGTTGATTATTGACTCAACTTTGTGGTAAAATTTTTTAGAAGGTTTAATTCTCCACTGAAATAAAATTCATGTCATTATCTTATCAGGATTTGGATCATCTGCATATCAGCCTTTATTCTTTGTAACTTCCTATGATTAGGATTTGGATCATCTGCATATCAGCCTTTATTCTTTGTAACTTCCTATGCCGTTTATTTTGTCTAGATGAACTTTATTTTGGCAAAATTTTCTCGAAAATCATATGCTATCTCCATTAATCTTTTCCATCATTATCTCTTGCCAGTGTCATCATGCTGCATACCGTTGTACATTTCACTGGTGTAGTTGACATGACTAATTTCTGATATATATCCTCAATAGCTTTTGGCCAAGATACTCAAGCTAACCCTTCATCTTTGATGACAGCCAAAGAACAAACCTGGAATTGGTGAGTTAGCACTTGGTCCTGTCATGTTTGGATCTTCCATGACTTTGCTGAACGCTGATCACTATGATGTCTATTTCAAGGGAATGCCATTGTGGAATGGGAAGGTAATATTCCTCTCAGCTTCATACTGATGGTGTCTGTCAAATCATTGACGAGTTCCCTAATACAGGTTCTAAGAAGGCACGGAGACATGTTTGAGATTACATCAAGGGGTTACTATCGTGCACATGGTCGTGCAGATGATACGATGAATCTTGGAGGCATCAAGGTATTCACTTTGTGCTAAAAACTTAATGTTTAATGGAAAGGCTGACATGTTGAGATTATGGTTGCATATGTATATAAGCGAACCTCCACTAATGATCCAGAGATACAATACCTTAACGAATTGCACATTGATCAACTTAAATGTGTGCAAATGTACTAGGAGTGTTTAAGGAAAAGCAGAACAGGAACCTAGGAGAAAGTAAATTTTATTTAGAATATTGTTCTCCAAGTAATATATCTTGCATATGGATGGGTATTTCTTGAAATTTTGCAATGTAGCAGAAATTGAGTATCATACAATTGATCCTTTTCCTAGGCATCAACGGCGAATTTTGCGGTTTGAACAACACAGACGCAATAGGATATCAAGCCAGTTTATTCTGTATCCTGAATATTTTTCTTGCTATTATTGTGCAAAAAGCGAGGTGCTTGTTTAGATCTTTTCTGTAAATATGCTATTGTTTTTAAGGAAATGCTAGGCTTCGTTATTATATTGATCTTTCAGAGGAATGTCGACGCTTTGAAATACTTTTGTTATCGCACTTGTGTTGAGTCTTAAGGGGCAAAATAGCCGGGTATGATTAGTTTGAACTGATGCATTCCATTCGTTTGAGCAGGTGAGCTCTGTCGAAATTGAACGCCTCTGCAATGAAGTCGACAACAGCATCCTGGAGACTGCTGCCATCGGAGTGCCGCCTCCTGCTGGTGGACCAGAGCAGTTGGTGATTGCGGTTGTATTCAAGGACCCAGATAGCAACATAACCACCGACTTGAATCAATTAAGGATGTCTCTCAACTCAGCTGTGCAGAAGAAACTAAATCCTTTATTCAGGGTATTGATTTTGTTTTTGTTTTTGTTTTGTTTTGTTTTGTTTTGTTTTTTCCCGATTTCCTCATGGTTAACACTCTATTGGGTCATTAATCATGCATAGTCATGCTAATTTAGTACACGCTTGTTTGTTCAGGTCTCTCGGGTTGTGCCTCTCCAATCTCTTCCAAGAACAGCAACTAATAAGGTCATGAGAAGGATTTTGCGCCAGCAATTTGTTCAGCTTGACCAAACTTCTAAGATGTGAAATGTTTATATATACACACACACACACAAAGGAATGACGCCTGTCGTTAAATGTACAATATATAATAAGTCGTTATTTACTGTAATGAGTATGTTTTGACTCTATCACACGTGAAAATAGAATGGGGCAATAATTTTCTTTTTTTCTCCTCCCTTCTTCTCCCTTTCATTCTTTCTCGTTTTGTTTTTGAAAATCTCCATTTATGCAGGACTAGAAAAGAAGAGTTTTCAGTCGACAGCTGAAATAAAATTGCTAAAAACAAATTCATATAAGAAAAAAAAAAAAGATAAAGAACACGTAGAAGCTGACAAATATTTCAGTGGGAAGTATTGGCAGCTTAACAAGTGAATCTTTGTGTAATTTTTGCTCCCGAAAAAAAAAAGAAAAAAAAAAGATGATGTTCATATGAATCATATCTTTTCCAGAATTTGGGTTAAATTCATCATACGTCCATGATTGTTTTTTTTTTTTTTTTGGATAATTTACTTCCTTGATTCTCTCTCTTTAGAATTGTCCTCCAACTTTCAATTGTGCAAATTTGTTCTTCTAATTCTCGAAATGTCTCAATATGGACCCATTAACAGTGCCGGACAAAAACTTGGATTTTTTTTTTTTTTTTTTTTTTATACATGTATCAGCGTAAATCCGCCTTAAATAAGTTGGCGCTAGCCGCTAGGTACGGTGCTTATAAACGATAGATTTAATGAAAATTACGCAAGGAAAAAAAAAAGTATTGACAGAGGTAGACATATGTCGAACCCTACTAGTACAGAATTCAGTCAATCCCTTCCTATAAACATATTTACAACCCAAGGTTAAAAAAAAAAAAAAATTTTGAAAAGAAAAAAATTAAATGAAAGATATAAGGTTTAAGTTTAAATTAAAAGAAAAATATTAAAGAAAGATATAAGGTATAATTTTAAATTTGTACCTCCTCATTTTACTTACTATTTAACATGATACAAAACTAGTCCTCGAGTTTTTCATAACTTGTAATTTCATACTTTCATCAATTAAACCCAATTTTTTTAACAATTGTAGTCACATGCACGCAAGTGACTATCTAGTAAAAGAAATATAAGAGAGAAATATTGATATAAGGATTGCAAGTAAAAGAGAAGGCGTCACTTAAAAATAGAGCAAAATTGTTTTTATTTTTGCTTTTTGATATTCTTACAAATATTTTAAAGTATATTTTGTTTCAATTTATTATATTTCCCTTTATTAAACAGTCACGTAATTCGTTTGTTATTAGAACTCTAAAAACTTTTAGAATTTCATTGATGAAAAGTACTAAAGTTACCACATATAAAAAGCTAAGGACTAGTTTTGTGCCATTTAAAACTGTGGAGGCAAAACTGAGACAAATCCCTATCTTGGGGGTGAAATTTGAATTGATCCAAAATATAAAGGCCACGTCAAAAAAGGGGTGCGCTATGCGCATTCGAGCGTACTATAGCGGGACGGTGCTTCATTAAAAAACACGAGACCCCCGGATTATCGTTTTCCTCTCTCTCTAGCTGCGATAAACCAACAGGTCTTGGTTTCACAGCTGCGACTATCTTCATTCATGGTGTCCACAATCTCACCCAAATTAAATTAGGGTTTTTCGTCCTTCTAATTAGGGCTTCTTACTCCTCACAACAATGGTCTCTCTTTGCCTCTCCAAACCTAATTTTGCAACTCCTTTTCTCGGCCAGAAACTGTACTCTCTCTCTCTCTCTCTCTCCCCCCCGTATATATATTATATATGTGTATATGTATATATATTTCTGTTATTAAAATTAACGACTCTATTCAAATAGTAAGAATTTTCAAGTTTTTGAGATTTTGATTGATTTTTATTTTTGTTAGTTCTTTCTTTCTTCCTTCTTGCAGTTCGTTTCATGGGAATACAACGAAGGATTGCGTCGTTCTGGGAGGCCCTCGGTGTGCTGTGGATACACCTTATGGAGGTATTCATTCTTCCGAAAAAAAAAAAATTTTTTTTTTCCTTTTTTTTTTGTTTTTATCAAATTAGTTTGTATACAAGTATATACAACTGATTGAGTTTCCTTTATAGTTAATTATTTTGCTTTTTCTTTTTCTGAAGAAAAAAGGGTGATAATTAACTCTCTGTTTTTTTTTTTTTTTTGTTAGTTATGATTCAAAATTTATTTGGAAAGTGTTATTCTGTTCTGCATGTGTTTGCTTCTATTGTATTTTGTGTTTTAAGCTCCTTCTTTATTGACATTGCTTCAATGCCCAATTCGGTTATTTTAATTCGAGTTCACAATCCTTTCTTCATGGAAGGTTGAAACTATTGGTAAATTGCTCTAAGACAAATAGTTCTGTTTAACTACCAATTTTCTTATCCCTTCTGGGTCAGGATATTGCTGTAATCTTGGATTGTTTTTTAATCAAAAAGGATGATCTTGAAGAATAGTGTAATTTCTGCCCAATCCCAACACTTATGAATAGTGTTTTAATTTCGTATGATGGTGATGCCTTTGGTTCTTCGGTATGATTTGAAAGATTCAGCATAAGGTTCTTGTTACATGTATCTCCGTTTTATCTATAGAAAATATCCATCTGATCAGTCGAATGCGTATTTAAACTACATTGAATGCACGGTTGCTGTAGTTTCGATTGTTATGCTTGGAATTGTTTGGTTGTTGCTTCAAGAAAATTATGTTTGTTATGGGTAGCCAAGAAGAAAGTCATATACTCAACTGCTATCAATTTTTGCTTCACCCTCTTGTTCAAGCCATATATAATGGTTATGAAGAATCGACTAAGTTTTACCATTTTCCGTTCCTGAAAATCATGAATGATACCTTATTTTTCTGTCATATCTTCATCTCTTTGATCAACTCTGGTCCAACTGCTGAATTTTTTAGAAGATTAGTCATTTGTGGTATGTGTATCTTCACTTTGTACACAGGTAATGTCCCAAAATTCCCTAGATTAAGAGTTTGGGATCCGTATAAACGCCTTGGTATAAGTCGTGATGCTTCTGAGGAAGAGATTTGGGGATCTCGCAATTTTCTCTTGCAACAGTACACTGGACATGAGAGAAGTGAAGAATCAATAGAAGCTGCCTTTGAGAAAATACTGATGGCCAGCTTCCAGCACCGGAAGAAAACAAAAATTAATTTGAAGACCAGGTTGAAGAAGCAAGTGGAGGAGTCTCCACCTTGGATAAAGAACTTGCTGAGTTTCGTGGAACTCCCCCCTGTTGATATAACTTTGAGAAGATTGTTCCTCTTTGCCTTCATGGGTGGCTGGAGTATTATTAACTCTGCTGAAAGTGGACCTGCATTTCAGGTATGTTGCAACTCTTATGCCCTGTTTTAGTCTAAATATTTGAATTGCTGTTTCATCTAGACCTATGCTTTTCTTTCTAAATGCAATATCCCTTCATCATGAGATGGATGTGAAGGATGTTGGGAAATCGAGTTTGGACTTTAAAATCCCATTAATTTTCAATAGATGAAATCTTTATTTGACAGGTTAATCCTTAAGACGTATGACATATGACTTGGGTTGGCGTTCAGATTTGTTTTCTTATAATTAATCCTTAAGACGTATGATATGACTTTGGTTGGCGTTCAGATTTGTTTTCTTATGAATAACTTGTACGTGGGTGGAAATCGCATAAATATGATTCACAAATGCCCTGTTTTGTTCTTTGCCGCTGGAATCTGTTTTATAATTCATCTCTAGTCTTCTGTTGTTCCTAGCATTGAAACCCATCTTCCACCCATAGAGAGAGAGAGAGAGAGAGAGAGAGAGCACCCCTGTAGAAATTAATTTTTAGATTTATTGAACCCTCCAAGCTTTTCATTGATGCGATCGAATAATCCAGTTTATTCGCTAAATATAACAATTTTGTGTTTCCTTCTTTCTCTACTACCTGAATGCAGGTGGCAGTCTCCTTGGCAGCTTGCATATATTTCCTCAATGAGAAGACAAAGAGCTTGGGCAGAGCTTTCATTATTGGGTATGTTAGCGAGCAACTATAGTGACCATTTTTCAGAAGTTGCCATTTTTCTCTCTCCTTGTTTGCTCCCATTACTCTTAAGCTAAATCTTTGGTCTTTTCACCATGCAGTTTTGGAGCTCTAGTAACTGGTTGGGTATGTGGCTCTTTGTTGGTCCCAAATATTCCCTCAGTTCTCTTACACCCTACTTGGACCCTCGAACTCGCAACATCTCTAGTAGTTTATGTCTTCTTATTTCTTGGTTGCACTTTTCTCAAGTAGAACTCAAATTTTTGTCATGACTCAGGATCTGTGTTTTTTGAAAATGCAAATTGGATAAAGCTTAGCTTTTACAATTCCGTTGCTAATTGAATTATAATTTACCAATTTACGAGTTATGAATGAAGAAAAAGAAAATATCGTTTGTAGTGCCTTTTTCCATGTATTCTGTTACTTGGTGGTCAAATTCTTTTTCATTAGAGCATAAATATAATACTTGTGTATGTATATGCGGGAAATGCCAAACCTATGAGCTTCTTTTGGGGAACAATTGTGTTCTTAGGTTACGTACTTTTGGTATCAATTTTGTTTTTGATCTAATATGTACCGTTTAGGGTTACTTTTCTTTGGTTTTGTGGGTTCCCTTTTACAATTTCCAGTACCTTATGATGGAGGGTTTGGGGGAAAGAGCATGTTAGAGCAAACATTAAGATATGTACAACTATAGGGGCCTAGCTGGTGTTCACCACCACACATGAATAGAATGTGAATCCAAGATGGGCCACATGACGGGGTCATGCCATCATTAGTTGTGATGTTGGACACCACTGGTGCCCTATGCATTTTGACACATTTTTTAAACGAAAATAGTAGAAAATATGCCGATATGAAAAGCTTAAGAAAGTATATAAGTTAATTTTTAGTTATAGAAATTAATAGGCCATAACTTGTCAAGTTATGGTTCATAATCAGATAAGTTATGGACAAACTTGTCAAGTTCTGATCCATAACCAGACAAGTTATGGACAAAAATCGTGAATTATGGATAATAACTTGTCAAGTTATGGTTCATAACCATACAAGCTATGGACAAAAACAGTAATTTGGTCTATTTATTAACTGATGTAAACTATTAGCCTATTAATTTTAATTCATCGCAAGTCTTGGCTATTTCTCTCTTTCTCCCTTTATTAAAATATATGGAGATTTTGCAAATGATGGTGCTCAACATATTTCCGCTTTCTTTCAGATGGCTTTTAGATTTTAATCTTGATTATTAATTTGTGTTTTTCTCTAATCTTTTCTCATTATGAGGGGTTTCTATTTGATATTTGCTTAGATCCCTTGCTTAGCCCATTCAAATTACTTTCTCTTGTACTTCATATAATATGTGTAATACTTCAGAAGTTAAAAACCAGCCACCAAAAAAATTCACAAATTCTCAACCTAGACGAGAATATGCGTTTCTAGGCAAAAATCCAAAATTAACTATCATAAAAATAGTTGTTGAGCATAGAAATTCCACTACATAATACTCCAAACCTACCTACAACAAAACATAAGCATTAAGAAATAAAATCAAGTTGGCTAAACAACCACAAATCCGGTGATTCATAAAATCTAATCACTAATATAGCAACACTAGTACTAGAAGAAATCAAGTGATCATAATGGTAAATTAATAATAGTCATCATGGGTGGCCTCTATGAGTAGTGTACTTGGGACTTGACCTATTGTTCCTAGTAGCGCAGCAGCCAATGCAGTAGATGAGGGTGAGGATGATGAGGACACAGCTGTTGAAGATGGCCAAACGCCTCCACTCCTTCCTGATGTTGAACAGCACCCCGGCCTTGCACGACTTGCAGTTGAAGCACAGTGTTGTCTGCTCGTTGCTCCACGTCGTGCAGTCAGTGTCGGGCACTGCAGGGCCCGTCTTCGGGGCCACCCAGTAGGTCGCGTTCCTGTACTCGAAGCCACAGTAGGATGGCGGCTTGCAGCAACCCGACTGTGTGTGTACATGCACAGAAGAAACTAGTTAATACTAAGAAGTAATTAAAAGATTTATGATGGCACAAAACAAATACAAGAGGAAAAAAAAAATCCACCACTGTATAGCACTTCATTAAACTAGTACAGAAGGAATCACAAAACTACCTAGTTCGGTAACTGAATTTATTAATTTCCAAATGGACGTCCTCTCAAAATTTGAATCTGCCTAATTAAAAAGAGGAAAAAAAAAAAGTGTCTGAATCTCCCTTCCTCTTTTTTTTTTTACAATGTGAAAGCCGTCCCCTACAGACTAAAGGAACAAATATATATATATATAGATAAATGAAGAGATGGGAAACCAAAAAGAACACATGAGAACATGTACAATATAGAGCGAAGATGTCCTTATTACATAAAACTATAAATTTCCAAGTTCAAAAAAAAAAAAAAAAAAAAAAAAAACAATGAAAATCCAACATGCACAATATCCAAGTAAATCTAAGCATGCCATATTAAGAAGAAAACAAAACAAAACAAAACAAAATCCAAAACAGTATCATGCACGTACAAAATTAAATGAAAAACCAAACACGTAAACATTACAAGATCCATTATTTACGTACTTATAGAGAAATAAAAGTAACGTAATTAATTACCTGCGTTGGCGAGAGATTCTTCTTGTAAAACTGAGCCTGAGTTTGTCCCAAACTCCTACAAACGTTGGCATCAACCAAACAGCTCCTAATCCCGCCCCAATTCTTCTCATTGACAACGTAATTCTGGAGCCAGTGCGAGAAATCCCCGAGCCGGTACTCCTTATACCCGCGTCCAGACACGGCCTGTCCGAGCCCCTTGTTGGTTATCAACAGCGCGAAAACTGTGAAGGCGATCAGCCCAAGGATCATCACAAACATGACCGTCAAGTAGATGTAGAGCACGGCATTGATCCGGCAGCACGACCCGATCAGCCCGAGCAGCGACACGACCACGAAGAACACCCCGAGGGCGAGGAGCGGCGCCTGGATGGCCCGCTGGCACTCGGAGGAGGAGGAGGAATGGTAGCGGAGGAAGATTGCGGAGGCGATGGCCGCGGCCCCAGCGACGAGCGTCACCGCGTTGAGGAGCCCGACGACGGTGTTGCTTATTCGGAACATGGCGGAACAAGAATTGAGAGATTGAGGAAGAGGAATAGAATGGTGCAAAAACTGTGTGATTTGGTGGAAAAATATTAACAAGACTCGCTCCTCTAAAATGGTAACTGTTTTATAGTTGTGTTCCTTTTTTTTTTTTTTTTTTTTTGTAGCAAACGGTTGCTTCGGGGGTGTTAGAGGATTGGCCCTCATTTTGGGGATTATTTACGGGAATGCCATTACGAGAGGTTTTTGGGAAGTCGGGTTGGGGTCGTGGCTGACAGTTTTCGGCCAAGCGCTGGTCCACGTAAGGGTTGACGGTTGTTTTGGGTGTTGGAATTACGGGAATGCCCCTGGGGCTGTTTGGTGAAAGGTGGGGTAATGGGGTAATGGGCCAATGGGGAAACAAATCTCATCGCCCACGTAGTACGGTTTTTGTTTTAGTGGGAGTGTGGAAATGTTTTTTTTTTTTTCTTTTTTTTCTTAACGTAAATTTTTTTTGTTTGAAAAATTTTTGACGTAAATCAATGCATCAAAGGCTTTTTGATTCAAAGCCATGAGCCATCTCATACGACCGAGGGGCGACATTTTTTATTTTTTATTTTTGGGGTCAAATCGAAGGGTGATTTCGTTTCCATTAAAAAAACGTGCGTTTCTTTTTTTCTTCTATAACAATTATAAATTTTTTTTTTTTGGCTGCTGTAATGGTGTATTTCAACCCCCGTGACAAATGGCCTCTATCGGTAGTAATGTTTCTGAAGTCTTGTTCACTTTGCAGATTTAAATTTTTAATTTGAGTTGAGATGTGACATTTTTTTGAGAGTTTTTCTCTGTAGAAGAAAAAATTAGATGTGACATTTTCTGAGAGCTTTTTACTGTAAAAATTTAAAACTGAAAACTCGAATCGGTGAAATGAACGAGGTCTAAGTATTTTTTTTTTTAAGAAAATTCATCTTAATACATGAGCTAATGTCTAATTTACCTTTTTAATCTATTAGAGTTATTTAGTAAAACATTTTGCAACCTAAAAAATGCTCATGGCCTCAAAATGATATTTTTAACAATCATAAGATATTTTTTAATATTTTATAAATAACCGGGTACCAATGTTGTGTTATGTAAAAATATCGTTTACCAAAATGATTAAAACCTGAGTGGAATGTGAAAATCACAATGGTGTGTGTTTTCGATTTTCCTTTTTGTGCTCAAGAAATATACGTGCATTACTTTGTATGGGTCGTGTATTATGCTTTAGAGTTTTTTTTTTAAATTTAAAAATAATTTCATGCAAATATAAAATTAAAGATTTTACCTTCTTATCATGATTAATATAACATTAAAACATTTTATACGTCAACTGATATGAAATTTATTCAGTGAAAAGGTAGTGTGATATAAAATTTTATACATTCATTAATATAAAACTTATTCTGCAAAATGGATTTGTAGTGACGGGTCAAATTATTGCACTTTAAAAGAAACATTTTACTCCTCTAATTTTTGTTTTTTTTTTTTTGTTCGGAAATCTTTCAATTTACCCAAAACAGTTTTACATTTTAGTAAAATATACAATTTAAATAAAAAGCAAAGTAGAATGATTTTTATAAAACCCTCATCAACGGTTGAAACAATCGTCGCATGTCTTCGATATACAACGACTCCGGATTTGACAACGATTGAAAACCGTTGTCAACAACACGGCAGTTAATTCTACTACTTGTTCTCGTGTTATTGACTTGGACTTGGATGTTTCCAGCAAATCACAACGTTAACAACCGGTCCACAATCACATTGAATACATTTTCTACAGGTTGCTGCTGCGTTGTTGAACATTTTCTACTGGATTGTCGTATTTTCCTCTACTGTAAAAATGGGCTCTATCACTTATGAGATTTTCCCTCAAAGCATCGGTTATCACGTCCAAAACCTATCACGCGTGCCTCACGTGATGTTTTGTCTAGATTGTCTAATGAGAAAATGTTTATTACTGTCTAAGATAAATATTGTACAGTTTAGGGGTCTGTTCGCTGATTCGAGTTGATATGTGATTTTATGTGAGAGTTTTTTACTGTAGTAAAAAAGTTAGATATGACTGTTTGTGAGAGTTTTTTACTGTAGTAAAACTCGAATTCTAAACTCGAATCAACGAAATGAACAGGGCCTAGATATTCCCTGAATTAGATTATTTTGGATTTTCAAAAGATCAAATGTGAGTAGGCTGAAAATGCCCAATTGACAAATGTGGATTATGTAGAGCAACCCCACCACTTCTCAAGGGCATCTACGGTAAAGTGTATTATTCCCACCTTTTCCTTTTGTTATATAAGGACTTTGTGTTTTATAGTAAGTTTAGATCTTTTCTGATCTCTTCAAGAAATCTCATTCACTCACATTTAGTGCTTAAGAGATTCATAAGAACTTAGAAGGGAATAGAATAAATTTTCAAGAGAAAATTAAAAATTCTACTTTTTTTTTTTTAAGTACTTGACTTAATACTAAAAGTATCCCTTTTGAAAAACTCTACACATTGATTAGTTTTAGTTTGAAAAATAGAAATATATGTATTAATGTTAAGGAGTAGAAATAAAAAGAGGTTAAATTTCAAGGTGATTTCTAAAAATTCCCCATTATTCAAACCCATTCTTTAAGCGTTCAAGATAAATCAAAGCAATTGGAATGGGCTCATGGGATTATGAGAGAACAACAGTACTGCACTAGCATGGAATAACAAAAGGTTGGAGCTCTTTGATCATCAATAATTATTTGTCCGAAAGGTAAAGAAACGTTTTTTCATGTGAAATTATAATAAATGACAATATTATAGTAAAAAGTTTGTTGAAAAATTTTTGTAATACATTCCACTACGTTTTATTATAAATTTTTTACAACCTAACCAACAACTTTACAATACTAATTAACGTGATAACTTTTTAAACATTTACCAATATACTTGTTGAATTTTTTAATCGCTAATGAAAGTTGAATTTTAGGACCTAGAGTTCGTTCACTTCGCTGATTCGAGTTGAGATGTGATTTTATGTTAGAGCTTTTTACTGTAACAAAAAAGTTAGATGTGATTATTTGTGAGAGCTTTTTACTGTAGTAAAACTTGAATTCTAAACTCGAATCAGCGAAATGAACGAGAACTTAATTGCAAAATGAACAATTCTCAATCACGAGAATGTTAAACTACAAAAAGCTTATGGGCACATGTGCTAAAAACCTATAATAGTCCCGTATAAAATTTAAATCTCGTTGACAAGCAGAGTTAAATTGCGAAGAAAAAATTGGGAAGGAAAATGCTAAATTACAAGAATTGTCAAGGATACATTGAGAAAGTTAGACATATAATACAATCTTACTAGTGACGTTGAAATATAGCCAAAACTTATCTAGTTTACAAATTGCAAAAATTACAATTATTAAAATAATTATTTTGTAATTCCCTAGTATAAAACGTAAATATGATTATAACAATTAGGAAAATTCTACAACGAGGGACTTTTATTGCACTCCACAGTGAATGGGTGACGGAAATGTATTCTTAACCTTCTGATTAAAATTAAACAACCTTGAATTAATTAGGTCCAATTACATTAAAATAGTTTAAAATGCACACAATTTGCTTTTAAATTAATTAGGAAACAAAATCCTCTATTACGAGTATTTTAAAAGGTCTTCATAAATACTCATATAAGATCATTTCCAATGCAAATATTAATGTCAATTGTATATTTAACATAAAAAAAATGTGATATGATATGTTATTTTTATTTTTACTCCAATACATAACACTGTTTAAAATGTCAAATCTATTTTTTTCATAATTATTAAGTTTTAAAAATTGTAAAAGTAAATTTTTATTTTTAAAATAATTAAAAAATACAAAAATTACCATGATTATACGAAAAAGTAAACATTTCAACTAATAATTTTTATTTTTAAAATAATTAAAAAATACAAAATTATTATGATTACATAAAAAAGTAAACATTTGAACTAATAATAATAAAATGTCAAGTTTTTCATATGCTATTCTTAGTAAAAAATTTGTCACAAAATATAATATATGAAAAATTTAACACAATAAATAACATTACATTAAAATATTTTTTATATTTAAATGTTAAATTTATAATTAACACATTAATTATAACATTACTTTTTATATTTAAATGTTAAATTTATAATTAACACATTAATTATTACATCGCACTAAACATGGGTTCGCAATGCCCATACATGAAAACGACTCAATATCAATCTTAGTTGGCGCCTTGGCGGCTTCTAGTAAATGAAATTATCCAAAAGGCACGAATCGGCAGATGTCCTTGTCTAAATAAAAACGATTTATATTATTTGGCCTAATATACTAACGTACCTATAGTCCTATACTAGCGAAATTAATTGTCTAAATAGTATCTTATCAAATGTAAACAAGATAGTTGATAACTTATTAAATGATCAGTCCTACCCTTTATTTTGTATAGAATGGACCAAATTAAATAAACCTATTACAGTAAAACTTCTATAAAATAATATTATTGAGACTAAGAAAAAATATTATTTTAATAAAATTATTAATTTATCAATGAATTAATAATTTATTATTTTATCGATAAATAGATATTTATTAATTTAAAAAGAGTTTTATATTTTAATAATATATGTCATTTTGATACATGTATTATTATTGACTAAAATTCATGTATGAGTTATAAATAAATTAAAAAAAAGTGGATGTAGTTTATATAGAATTTCAAAAGTTATTATGTACATTAAAAATGTTATATATATGTATATAAAAGCTTAAAAATTAATGTAAGTACATTGTACATAGAATAGTAATAAATACATACATAGACATAAAATTAATGTATATTTTTTTTCAAATCTAATACCTAGAAAAAAAGTCCTTAATATGATAAAATGGTATTTATTTTTTTTTTTTGGTATTTGATTGATTATTAATTTATATTTTTATTGGGCTCTAAAGATATTTAAAAAAAATTATTAACTTGTACATTTAGTGAGATTATTAACTTAGTATATTAGCCTAAGTTGTGATTAGAATATTTTATTAATTTATCGAAAATCATTTATAAAGATTTTACTGTATAAACCTATAAGTAAGAGTTTGGGAGTCTCCTATTGTAGATTACTCTAGCTGTTCCTCAAAATATTCCAACAAAATTATATATAGGGAGTTTTTCCAGTAATTTTTTTAAAAATAGATTATTAGTAATTTTTTATTTTTTAACTTTTAAATCTGTATCAAAATTTATGATTTGTTATGTAAATTTTTTTATTTTAATGTGATTTTAATTAAACTCAACAATTAAAAATTAAAACTTCTGATAAAACGGCCTGCAGAAAAAACTCTTACATATTCAAATTTTATTTTTGTAAAGTAATTTTTTATTTATTATTTATTTTTTAAGTTCAAGTAACAAGTACTAAACAAAAAGTAGAGGACTGACATTCTTAAAAGCAAAATTAAAAAAGAAAAGAAAAGAAAAGAAAAATGGTCCCACTCGACCACTCTCAAACAAAACACCACACAACACAACTAACAAATGTCCTAAAATTATAATGAATGCTTGCTTTAAAGAAAAAAGAAAATAACAACAAATTATATACGTGTTCCACACGAAAGAAACAAATGTTAAGCATGCACTTCCCAACCGAGAAAAAAACAAAAAACAAAAAACAAAACAAAAATCAAGGTTTTTAACACAATTAACCCTAAACTTATCAATATTAGTAAATTATCTCTCAAACTTTTAATTTCAATCATCAATCTACTAAATTTGTAAAATTATTAAAATTTTTAATTACATTTAAGGGATTATTAAAAGTTAAAAAATTAAAAAATTTGTATTATATTTAAATTAAAATGTGAAAATTTTTATGTTAAATTTACTTTTTTAACATTAATTTAACATAATCATTTCTTTAAAATGAGACATATTTTATAAATTAAGAGAGTAATTTAATAAAATTAAAAATTTAAAAGGTAAATTGTTAAAATCGTACAAATTCATCCGTTTAGTTCGCTGATTCGAGTTTTTAATTCGAATTGAGATGTGATTTTATGTGAGAGCTTTTTACTGTAATAAAAAAGTTAAATGTGATTATTTATAAGAGCTTTTTACTGTAACAAAACTTAAATTTTAAACTCGAATAAGTGAAATGAACAGAACTTCATATAGCAAATAGACCCCAAACATACGTTCACTCACCTAACTCGGTGTTTAGCTAGCTCCGTCTGCAACGTCTCTCCAAACTCCAAAGACTTCAACAACCACCAAAACCAAAACTCACACAAACACAAAACTCGCTAAAAACAATTGCTTTCATCGCCTCCTTGGCGGACTTTCCCACACTTTGTCTCCCTATAACTTTCCCTCTCTCCAAACAACCCTTCATCTCTCTCTCTCTCTTCGATCGTTTTAGAGAGAGAACCACAAAATGGCCATGGCGGCTTCCCAATCCTCCACGACCACTCTCCTCCAAAGCTCCTTCCTTTCCTCGAAACCTTCGCCCAAACCACAACTCTCCGCAACCTCCGTCCCTTCTCCTCTCAACCCTCGCCGCCGATCCCCTCCCGTTCGGTGCTCCATCGCCGCCGCGCCGTCGGCGGCCACCAAGGCGGCTAGGGAGTACGCCGTCAAGTCCGTCAAGGCGCGTCAGATCATTGACAGCAGAGGCAATCCGACGGTCGAGGTTGATCTGATCACCGATAATCTCTACCGATCGGCGGTTCCTAGTGGCGCCTCCACGGGGATCTATGAGGCTTTGGAGCTCAGAGATGGCGATAAGAGCGTCTATGGAGGGAAAGGAGTGCTCTACGCCGTCAAGAACATCAATGAGGTTCTCGCTCCCAAGCTTATCGGCGTCGATGTCAGGTTTGGTTTCGGTTTTTATTATTATTGTTAATTAGTTGTTGTTATTATTTATGTTTTCTGCGTGTTTATTTTATTATTATTATTATTATTATTATTTTGGTTCTGCATTTTAGTATTTCATATCATGTTCTGCATGGAATTCTTAGCTTCAGAAAGTATGGCCTGGTTGAGACCAAGAATGAAAATATTATTGTCTAGAAATATGGGTATCTAGATTTTATGGAAATTTCGATGGAAATAGAATTGTTTAACATTTATTAGATGTATGTAAATTTATCTTACAACATGGAATTTTTGAATAAAACCTTGAGAAACTCTAAGGGGCCGTTTAATTCACTGATTCGAGTTTTTAATTCGAGTTGAGATGTGATTTTATGTGAGAGTTTTTTACTGTAGAAAAAAGTTAGATGTGATTGTTTCTGAGAACTTTTTACTGTAATAAAATTCAAATTCTAAACTCGAATTGGTGAAATGAATGAGGCCTGAAATTATATAAAATTATCAATCAAAATGTACACGTATATATCCATAGTTCGAAGTGGTTATAGACTTGACTATATGTTGTTTATCGGTATTGGGCTTTTGATTGGGACTGGTGTTTCTGGATGGAAGTAAGAAAGGAAACACCTAGGATCAATGATAATAAAAATACCGGTGTCAATATTGGTGACAATGAAAAATTATCAATGTCAATAAAAATATCTAGCTGTAAATTTAGGTAAAATGTTGATGAAACTGTCAACATCTTGTCGAATACTCCCAACTTTTTTACTGGAGATTATCAACATTATCATGAAAATGTGGGTACTTGAAAGAATTTTATTGTTAACCTCGATGCTATAAGGATTTAGGATGTTTATGCATACAGGTGTATACTTTTATTTATTGGCATTTGGCCATGTAATATGACATTTTTTGTGTTTTCGTTTACCAGAAATCAAGCTGATGTGGATGCTATTATGCTGGAAATTGATGGAACGCCTAATAAGTCAAAGCTTGGGGCTAATGCAATATTGGGAGTGTCGCTGAGCGTGTGCAGAGCCGGTGCAGGAGCAAAGGGAATTCCCTTGTACAAGCACATTCAAGAACTGTCAGGGACAAAAGAGCTTGTTATGCCTGTTCCAGCTTTTAATGTAATTAATGGGGGTAGCCATGCAGGAAATAATTTGGCCATGCAAGAATTCATGATATTGCCAGTAGGTGCAACCTCTTTTGCCGAGGCCCTTTGCATGGGCAGTGAAGGTTAGAATTGTAGTTACGCTTATTGAAATTGTTTGTTCTTCTCTATGCCGTGTATTTTTTGTTCCTATTATACTTTTTACAGACTACTGATATTTCTATTCTGTTAAAACAGTATATCATACACTGAAGGGCATTATCAAGGCAAAATATGGACAAGATGCTTGCAATGTTGGTGATGAAGGGGGGTTTGCTCCGAATGTTCAGGACAATAGGGAGGGACTTATTTTGCTCATCGATGCAATTGAAAAAGCTGGTTATACGGGCAAGGTAGGAGGCATTAATTGTTTTCTTTGCGGTTCTCTACTTCTGTTTACACTTTATGATGTGTGTGGACTCAATACAAATAATTCTGCAGATAAAAATAGGAATGGATGTTGCTGCTTCAGAGTTTTTCACTAAAGATGGGAGATACGATCTTAACTTTAAGAAACAACCTAATGATGGAGCTCATGTACGCTCGGCTCAGAGCCTAGGTGAGCTCTACAAGGAGTTCGTTAAAGATTTCCCCATTGTGTCCATTGAAGATCCTTTCGACCAAGATGATTGGAGCTCATGGGCTTCACTTCAGTCTTCTGTTGATATTCAGCTTGTTGGAGATGACTTGTTGGTTACCAACCCAAAGAGAATTTCTGAAGCGATTCATAAGAAGGCATGCAATGCTTTACTTTTGAAGGCAAGTATCTTTATCCGAATCGAGTCCGTTTAATCAATGATTCTTTCACTTAATGGAGTCTTTATGATTCACATTTTTTTGTGGTCTTTGGGAATGTATTGCAGTTTTCATCTGTCTCATTTCATCCATTCAATTGCAGGTTAATCAGATTGGCTCAATTACGGAATCTATTCAAGCAGCACTTGACTCAAAAGCTGCAGGTTGGGGGGTTATGGTTAGCCATCGGAGTGGAGAAACAGAAGATAACTTTATTGCTGATCTTTCTGTTGGCTTGGCTAGTGGACAGGTTTAATGATTAATTATATGATGTTTAATATCTTTCTGAGTTTTTATCAATATCAATGTAGTTGATCATTGCATATTCTGTTGTGTAGATCAAGACAGGTGCTCCCTGCCGAAGTGAGCGGTTGGCGAAGTACAATCAGGTACTAAAATCCTCAACCATTTTTCCCCACCCCTCCCTACCTAACTCCCTCTCCCTCTTTATATCTGTGGCTCATGCCTATAACGCTTGTCAATAATGTATGCCTGTCAAAGTTTTGGGTTTCATTTCATATAATAAATCCCAAATTTCCATGGTGTTCCACCGGAAAAGAAAAAAGAAAAAAAAATTCCGTGGCGGCAAGCGTATGTTTTTTTCTCTAATTTGTCGAGGTTCATGATTGATGAACCAAACACCCAACTTGGTCCAAATTGTTAAATTGCATAACGTTACTCCGGCTTCTACTTAGAAACACCACAACGACAACAACAAGCCTTAATTCCAATTTAATTGGGGTCGACTATATGGATTTCACTTTTCCACGTAGCTTTGTTCGAAATTAAACTTTCCTGAAGGCCTAGATCTAGAATGTGTTTCTTAACTACTTCGGTCCACGTAATTCTTGGTCTACCCCTCCCTCTCCTAGTATTAGGTATAAGAATGTCCTCCCAAGCACGAACTGGTACTTCTAGCGGTCTACGTTGGACATGTCCGTATTACCTCAAGCTGCCTTCGCGCACCTTATCTTCTATTGGTGCTACACCTACTTTACTATAAATAACTTCATTCCTTATGCGATTCATTTTCGTATGGCCACTCATCCATCTTAACATACGCATTTATGCCACACTCATTTTAGATATATGTTGTCTCTTAATGGCCCAACATTCACTACCATATAACATAGCTTGGCGGATTACAGTCCTATAGAACTTTCCTTTCAACTTAATAGGCATCTTGCCATCACATAAAACTCCCGTAGCATTCTTCTACTTAACCCACCATACCTTAATTCTATGTTGAATATCCTCTTCTATATTTCCTTCGTACTGCACTATAGACCCAAGGTACCTAAACTTTTTAGAAGCCCCAATCTCCACACCATCTAAAGAAATTCTATTACTCTGATTACTTGAGTTACTAAACCTACAATGCATGTATTCAGTTTTCGTCCTACTTAACTTAAATTCATTCATCTCGAGAGTCTGTCTCCATAATTCTAACTTACGGTTAACTCCTTCTTTATGTTCATCAACTAAAACTATATCATTTGTAAAAAGCATACACCAAGGAACTCTATATTGGATTTTTCTTGTCAGCTCATCCATCATGATGGTGAAAAGATAAGGATTAAGAGCAGATCCTTGATGACGGCCGATCCGAATGGGGAACTCTGCCGTGTAGCCTCCAGTAGTTCTCACACTCGTGACCACCCCATCATACATGTTCTTAATTACCTTGATATACCTCACATGCACTCATCTATTTTCTAACACCCACCATAAAACTTCCCTTGGCACCATATCATATGCCTTTTCTAAATCTATAAAGACCATATGTAGGTCCGTCTTTGCTTCTATGTACCTTTCCATCAGCATCTTAAGAAAAAAAAATGGCTTCCGTGCTTGATCTGCCTGGCATGAAGCCAAATTGGTTACCTGAGATGGTAGTTGTGGCCCTTAATCTCCTTTCGATAACTCTCTCCCAAAGTTTCATAGTGTAACTTATTAACTTTATGCCTCTATAATTGTTACAATTCAGCACATCTCCTTTATTCTTAAAGATGGGGACAATAATACTTTTCCTCCATGCATAAGGCATGTGCTTCTTCTTTAGTATCTCATTAAAAAGCTTAGTGAGTCACACAATTCCAGCATCTCCTAACGCCATCCAAACCTCTATTGGAATATCATCTGGCCCACATATCTTCTCTTTTTTCATCTTCCGTAGTGCAGTTTTAACTTCTGAAATTCTGATTCCTCTTGTAGTGCAGTTTTAAATTACTTTGTTTAATACCAAGCTTTCTGTAGAGAAAAAGAAAAAGGCGAAAAAAAATTACTGGATCTTTTTGGTTTGTGATCATCAGTTCCTGTCTGTATTAATTTGTCTCCTCTCTTTAAAAATTAAACACTCACATTTTGGGGGATTCAATTTTTTGTTGCAGCTTCTGCGCATTGAAGAGGAACTCGGGAATGTGCGTTATGCTGGTGAAGCATTCAGATCACCCTAAGAAGGTGATAGGACATTAACTTTGTTTTCTCTTGGAGTATGGTAATCACGTCCCAACAAATTATTTGACGCACGAGTCAAACCTGTTTTTGGGACAACTAGAGAGTTTTGTCGGGAGCAGTTCAGGTTAGGTGTAATTTGATCATTAGGATTCGATAAGTTATGGGCATAAGCGGGATCTTTGTTCATCAATGTCAAATAAACTGTTGGCTAATAAAAGAGTCTTTTAGCTTTCAATCATTTTCAGGCTCAATGAAACTGGTCGAGTATGAGTAGTCCTGTTTCTAGATACAAAGGGGGTGATTTTAGTTTTTCAATGTTCTTGTAATGTTGTGCTTTTTGTCAAATCATAAGTTTTGACCTTTTTGACATCTTTGGTACCTTTTAGTTATGTGATTTTGGACCATGCTACTAGGCAAAATATTTTGCTCATTGTTTGAAAATGTAGGTAAAACCTAGCCTTGATTAGACTTGGACATATGCTAAACTAAGGATTTGTTTGGGAGGTGTATTTAAACCACGATTTGAGTTTTGATTCAAATTTGTGAGAATTATTGACATGAATTTTTTTGATTCAAATTATTTGTGAGAAGAAAATACTGTAACAAAATCATACTTGAGTTTTGAGTATATGTTCTGAATAACCCCTAAACTTTCACTGCTTTCTGGAATCAAAATTTCTACTTCCAGTGGATTAAACTGCTTTTAGTTGGCAACGCTAAACTTCTCAAGAACTGCAATCTCAAATCTGTTATTGGATAAAAAGAAGGCATTTATTATGCATTGATCTCGTTATGTGTGGCATCTGTTAATTAAACAAGCACAGATCTACCCATAGCCGATCTTGAATGATCTTAAATAATTATCTCACTGTAACAGTGCGTTAAAGGTTTTGTGAGTTTACTACTACTATACATACATGACATGTTTGGTAACTTGTGTTGTATTATATTGTATAATGTGTATTGTATTGTGTTATCATAACACAATATAGTGTTTGGTGTCATGTGAAAATGTAAAATTTTAATAATTTTTGGGTTGAAATATAATTTTTTAAAAAGTGTGGGGTCAAAAATATAATTTTCAAAAGTTTTGGGGCCAAAATGAAAGTTTTTAAAATTTTGAGGTCAAAGTGTAATTTTACAAAAGTTTTGGGATTAAAATGTAATTTTGCAAAAGTTTTAGAGCCAAAATTTAATTTTTAAAATATAAATTTACATTGTGTCCTCTTAATTTTTAACAATTAACAATTATAGAGGCTCTGACACAACCCAATCAGTTTGATTCTGACTTTTAGTCGTGTCCATCTTTGACATGAATCATCGATTTATTATAAAATAATACAATACAATACACACACAAAAATGAACTGTATTCAATAATACAATAGACCGTATTAATTTACGGTTTGTATTAGTATATATAATATGATGATCACACTAAACATAATCTTACTCTATTATTATTATTATAGGGTAGGGTCAAATAAACATGCCAACAAAGTAAAATAATTGACGAGGCAAAAATCCCTCTATAAAATAAGTTAATATGGCGCACACGGTGCATGAAAAAAAAAATAAAATATATATATATATATATATATATGTATGTATATGATCCAAGTAAATGAAGAAGATGGCTCTTGTACAAAGTGATCTACTAAACAAACTCCACTCTTTCTTGTATATTTGTCTGTGAAAGTACAGAATCATTCATGAAGTCATATGCACTTAGCAACAGCACTTGTCTGGTAAAGATTCTCTAAACGGGAAAAGAAAAAAAGAAAAAAGAAAAAAGAAAAAAAAAAAAAAAAAATATATATATATATCTCTCTCTCTCCCTGAAACCAAG